TTTCATTTATTTGTTTAATTTTCACAGAAAATATTTTCAGAAACAAATTAAAGTTTTCATATATTTCATTCAAACGGCTCAAGGTTCCTGCAAGATTTATTTTCTTATGTAAAGGTATACTATGCTCATCATTAAATATTTTAATAACATAAATTTATTTTAAACCTTTAACAAGCTTACTGAATATGTCTTATATGGGTAAACCAAAATGAATAAACTATGTATGGGAAGCTGCGTTTCCTATTGCAGGTCAGGTCAAAGTTTTTTTTAATGATGTTATATATTCAAAGTGTGACCAACTATAATGTGTTAAAAATTTTAAACATACAATATCTACCTTGTGTGAAGTCAAAGCATATTTGTTTTATATCTACAAGGAGATGGTGAAGCAGTTATCAAACAGTATTTTAACAAACATCACATGTATACAACTTGCACAAAATGAGACTTTCACTATTTTTGGGGTTAAATATTGAATTCTGCTTAAGTCGGTGCTACGGGGCGTTGACAGTAGTTTGCACTTTCCAGTACTAACCATGAACAGGCCTAATCAAACCGAACCTGCAACATTTTCAATATTGCCGTTTTGGACTTTCTTCTTATTTTCTCAACTCCTTAGATTGCATTTCAGAATCATATTTTATGAGTATTTTGGAATACTTGATATATATATTTGTGCTTCTTTACAATTAATGCGTCCAAGACATCACAGTCTTATATCTAAAATGAAACTCACAAAAATTAGTATTTTGTCAATAAGTACCGGCTTCAGTAATCTATAACTTATTACCAATATTTTGCAACAGATACAAGTTTTGAGAATACTAGTTATGATATTCACTTGCAAGTTCTGTAATGATTGCAAGGGTTAATGTCACAGGGTGAGAAAAATGTGCAGCCTGACCGGGACTCGAACCCGGGACCCTCGGAATACCGTTATGCGGCTGTACTGACTGAGCTATCCGGCCGCTTGCACATCTTCTCCCCTAAAATGTAAAGAGTTCTGAACCTCGACATACTCCCCAACTATATTGAAATTCGTCTTCAAATTTCTTAGGGTTAGAGAGCAATGTGAATTCAACTCTGAGCTTTATGCAGTCGCGGTCCCCCGTTGGGCGCCAAATGTCACAAGGTGAGAAAAATGTGCAGCCTGACCGGGACTCGAACCCGGGACCCTCGGAATACCGTTCCGCGGCTCTACCGACTGAGCTATCCGGCCGCTTACACATCTTCTCCCTTATATAGTGAACAGTTCTGGACCGTGACATTAAAATAAGACGGAGAAAACTTGTTAACAAGTGGAATGCTTTTTGTCAATGATTTTTTTAGACTTCCTATTGTATGTTACATTCAATTGTAATCCATAAAGAGATCTTTGTTCCCGCACTTCTTCCCGCCTTTACTTTCCCCAAGGGACATATGCTAAACCTATAAATGTCATGTCCGGAAATGGACACAGATGATATCATTGTAATTAATTACACTGGTGAGTTCCAGAGTAAAGAGGCATTAAAAGTGACTCAAATGAGGTTTATTGACAGCCATGAGATTTTCGAGATTTTTATTACATTTAATGTAATTTTTCTGTACTTATAACATGTTTGCAAAATTTCAGATCAAAACTCCTTACTGCGCGTTTCTAAGAACATTAAGAGTTGGTACAAGATCGCCAAAAAGGTGATGATAGCGTAATTATTTTTGTGTTAGGTTTGGAAAAAAAGTCGTCTGGAAGATCTGTAATTTCATGCATAGGTTTTCTCGTTATGTCACGTTTAGGGCAAATTGATTGTGTCTAATTATTTTGCGCATTTTTATCAGGCACTCAATAACGTATCCGAATTCAATGTAATAAGATTTTAACGGAGACAGCAGACAATTCATTTATTGTAATTTGAACATCAGTATGCAAACTAAATGTTGTTGCATATTCAGTTAGTTATTCGTCTTCTGATCAAAGTTTAGTGTACACTGTTACCTTTTAAACAAATGAAGAATATGATAAAATAATTAATAAATATGAATCTAAAAGATGAACACATGTGCAATGTAAAGCTTATTTTGTGGTAAAGATAGGTTAATAATTATGAAATGAAATTCTGTTATTATATATACCTTACGAGCCTTTTCATATATTTTCGTCAACATTGCGTGTTATGGGCTTTGTATATCATTCAGACAATATAAACAAGTAAGCAATAACAGGTTTAATACGATCATAAAAGAGGCTAAAAGTGTGTAAGCCCTCTTCGATCTTCATGTTTACCAGACAATTGAAAGCGTCGGAAAAATAAAAGTTGGTAATATTTAATTGTTAACTGATGCATTAATAATTATGATCTTTAAACATTTCACGTTGTTTTTACAAGTCAGACGCAATCTTTCTCAACCAAATGAAGAACTGATCTACTATAAGTCATTGAGTTATTTTCAAATCATCCTTTGAATAAAATTGTGAAATTAAAATTAAAGAAGCATTGTTACCTCTTAATTGATCTCCAATTTCATATATGTTATGTGAGTTTGTAATGTACATTTATGTCTGATAATTTGATATCAGTATCATTCAAACTAAATTGACGAGAAAAGCCACTTAAAGAAGATTTGCCTACATGCATGCTGAATTTCATGACAATCATAAATAACATATGAAACATTGCAAAAGTAACGAATAAAGTGTGTAATGAAGTTTAAATTACTATGTTCGAAACGTATCTTAGGCAAAATATTTCTTGTCTGAAGACTGTGGCAGCGGCAGGTCAGAAACTTATGCTCCAGTACAAGCTCAGTAAAAATGCTTTAGCTGTCGCTGTCGCCAAAGCAATGGAAAATAAACAATTAAGCTGGAATTTCAACTGCGTGTGCATTATTGTTAAATCAAGTTGTCAGAATGTTTACTTCTGATGCATGAGTGGTCAAACCTATTCATAGACTGCAATTATTGACTGATGCATCTGCATCATTAAGCAATACATTGGAAGAAGTTATAAGCATTATTTCCCAAGAGATTGAAATCTTAATATCTATTACTTCGTTAATTCCATTAAGTATTTTCTAAGAAGGAGACAATTAAATTAATTGCAAACGTCATACAAAGAAGGGAAAATGAAGCATTATTTCTACCGGTTTCGTTTCAAAGTATACTTATTGTTTAATTCCCCGTATGATGTTAATTTCAAAGCAACTATTATAATCAAATCGAATCATCAAAAGTTATAAAACACAAAACAATCTGAAACATATATAGGGTTTTGTTTTGTGAAAGCTGTACATAAAAAACTGAAAAAAAACAATTACCATATTCCCAAAAAAAAGTTTAAGCATTTCATTCAACAAATCAAATCAGTCGATTAAAACAACGGTGGTAATAGAGAACAAATTAAATATATTCCGTTATGATGCTGACACAGAGGAGATAATAATTAAACCTGTTATCCAGAATAATTCAAATTTAGCCTGATTACAAAAATTCATAATTATAATGCCAGGATCAGCCTATTTACCAGATCACAGTTAAAACAGAAACGGTTTCTTTCTTGCTAGTTGCTGGTTTTCTATGATAATCTTTGCATCGTTCTTAAGTAATGTTCTTGTGTTACCCTCAAGTTCAGTTATTTTGCATCTTGGATAATGTTAAAATATAATGTCCCGGGTTTAAATTAAGTAAGACATATTAATAAAAAGTTGAAACAGTTTAAACGTGTTCACAAAATGTAAATATTGAAAGAATCTAATAATAGCCTCAGTTTGATTTACAATTATTTTACTATCGGTTTGATAGATATTTATTTTCAGTCTCGGTTTAATAAAGATTTCATTTTCAGCCTCGGTTTGATACGCTGTGTGCGATTTATTGTTGCACCATGCATGTTTCACTGTTGCCCAGCGTGTGTTTAAGTGACGCACATTTTTGTCTGATTTCTTGTTGTGCAATCTTCCTGTAAAAAATATAAACGTATAATGTTTTAAAAATTTCATCTTTAAGGCTGTACAATATGCATTTTAAAACATAAATAGGTACCAAATAAAAAAGACTCATAGTAAATATTTTCGTATGCTATGACACAGCTCCTGGTGACACTGAAACAAGACACATAGAGTCACATACCTCTTTACAATAGGTAGAATAGTTTTCTTTAAGGCAAAAACAAAATAAACTAGAATATTTTTAAACTCTACATGATTATATAGAATGACAATAAAATATCATAAGCCAAAAGAATCGGGTCACCGATCTCGGGTTCGAGTTATCTGTCCTTGAATATTAACATGTTGCTTTGTTCAAGGGCAGATAATTCATATTCAAGTTGAGCAAGGCTTTTGTCTGTTGTTCACATGTCTGAGTTCCTTCATAGTGTTTATGTAAAATTTAAAGAATCGATGATGGGTAATTTGTTTTTTCTTTCTCTTTAATTAAGCAATGTTAATTTTATCTAAAAATGGCCTGAGTTTTTAAAGATTTTGTATATATACTAAAACTGAATAAAGGGAACACAAATGTTTCAACTTAATTACATTCTATGATATTTTGTATCTTGTATTGGATGATGATAAATAGTATAAATATAGGAACGGTTTGATAGATTGGTGTTCATTGTAAAAGTTTTCTGACCTTAAAATTACCTTAAATATCAAATTCAGTGGAGGATTTTTTGAAAACAAGACCGGTGACCCGAAATCATTTTTCGCTATTAAGTAGTGTATGTTTTCGGACTCAAATATCATGCAAGTTTGAATAAATTCTGATTAAGTGTTTCAAGTTTTTATACTGCTATATGTCTGTATGTTATCCAATAATACATTTAAGCATATATCTTTCAGTTGTGTTCTTACTAACACCTTCGATTTTTTATTATTTATGTCTTTTTGTAAGTTTCTGTTTCTTAATGTTCTGTTTTGTTTTGATATTTCTTTTTATTTTTCAAACCATACCCTGATTTAAATGCGAATACAATTCAACTACATTATTTGCAAATGTCAAAATGTCATTTTATTCATTTCAGATTTGCGGAGATTTGGAAATATGTTAGATTTGAGATTGCTTGCTCAATACTTCACTATGGCTGCTGTTATTATCAGCCTGACTATCATACTTCAAGTGTCTTATAAAGGTAACACATTGTTTTGTTGTTATTTAAAACATAAGTAAAGTGATATTGGTTTGTTGTAGAACCTTGCCTTATATTTTGTATTATGTCGATCAAGTCAGTAAAACTTATATATAGTTATATTGCAAACAATCAACATCATATGGGCGATTGTTAGAAAAAATGCATTCATCGTTGTCTTATATGTAACCAAATTGATGTCATCGTTCATAGTCTCCTCTTCTTTTTTATGTCTGCATTATAATCCCTAAAGACATAGGTTAACGTGCTTTACTTAATACAGCTGAATCATTTAAGATACGAAAAATAAAACTTATATTAAAAAATAGTCCGTTGTAACATTTGTTACTACTACATCTGGCAAAAAAATTGTTTATTACACATCATACCAAAGCTGCCATTTGTGTCATGGAGAGATTCACAAACACATAATATAAACAAAACCCTATAACTTTGAAAAAAAAACAACAGTTGAATATGAAAGACGACGCAACAATATTGATTAACATTTCATCACAACTTTTCACTTAATACCAATGATTATCAATGAAATCTAACAATGTTTAAGTATGATAAGATGCATGCTCAACGTTGCCATTACATGTATAATCGTATTTAAATTTAAAGTGATTGAAATGTTGAAAATTAAAGGCTCTCCTGTCACAAGTGTCCACAAGCTTAACAGCAGAATATTTGAGTTTCTACCATACTTTCATTCCTAATCACGTGTTGTAAATTGCACATGTATATACATATATGTTGCAAACAAAATATATTAAGGGATATTCAAGCAAATGAAGGACAAAATATTAAATACATCATATTTAGTAAAAATCACGATAAAATGAAGTCTTTAAAAACCCAGGCATGTTATTTTCTCTATAAATAACTATATTATGTCAGTTTAAACGTAAATAAATCTAAATATGTTGAACGAAATGACGACACAGACAGAACTAACGAGTAGTTTTAAAACAAGTCATTTGACAATAACAATCCTTAAAAGATAAAAAAAACAGACATTGTGGATATTATCAAATAAAAACAAGTCTAAGTCGCTTATTCGGCAGTTCTTTTACGTTTTTATAATACACAGTGATAATTATGGTGAAATCAAAATACTCTAACCTGACGGGGTCAGGTCAGTTTATGAAACAAACATTTTTTCTTTATATGGAGATTTTCTTGTTCTCTACACTGCTTAGTCTATTCATTTTGAGGGCTTTTAGAAAATATTGGTCGACAATATAAAGTTTTGCCTGTTTCTCACTTCTATCAATGTCATCTTTATTATTTAGTATCAGCATACCAGGGATTAGAGGAGCTAAATGCTTTGGAAGCTCTGGAAGAATCAATGATAAACAATGGCGTGCTACAACATCAGAACAGTGTAGAAGACAGCGACTTTTTACCTACAGACAAAAGGTTTGTTTAGTATATTTGAATATCTAAAAGAATTCTTATTATGCCACTGTGACGAATAAATTTGCAGTTACATCAATTTAAAACAAGCAGTTCTAAAAGTTACATACATAACAATAATAAGCCATGTAGCTGTAAAGAATTTTCATACCGCAATGAAACCAATGCTATATGCTTGTTAAGACGGAGATTGATTGATACACTGAGATATTGGAAAGGGTTTTTCAACACCAAATCAACATTATTCTGAACAGAAAGGTACTAGCAATACTGAATAATCTTTATCTAGATTGGAAATGACTCGCATTACGAATAGGATAGTCAATACGCTAACGTGTAATTATAATAAAAAATGGAATGGAGTAAGTGATTTAGAAATAAGCAACATAAAAGATCGGACAGGGCTTGGCATTATTAATGTGAGATCATGAATTATTATAATTGTTGTGAACAACGTTTATGATGTCGATGTCATTATATGTATATTATAGGTACGCCAGACTATCGTATTACTATGGAAACCGTGGCAGAGGAAGAAGTAACCGATATAATCAGAACAGGTAAAAAAGTAATAACTACTCTTATCAAGCTTACATGGAAAGTTTGTGATTATAAAAAAAATGTGATACAATGAAACATTTGAACAGAGATTTTTTATTTACTTTTTTGTGATTAATTTACATAGTAAATTTAGCTTTAATGTTTAAAAAAAATACAAATAATTATACGATTTATCATTTAAAAGATATGAAATTTTTCTCTCTCTTATATTTGCAAAGAGATATTAAAAAAAAAACACAAATTGAAACACTTGTTATTCAAGGTTGGTCAGCCACCTTTGTGAAAATTTAAAATGTTTGCAGTTTCGGTAGATTGCGCGACTGTATTGCCGTCAGTAAAAATGTCAACATCAACACCCCCTTAGCACTGGCTGAAACAAAATTCGACATTAACATCATAATAAGTTTTCATTTTGTACAACAGCACACATTAAACAAAAGAAATAACTGTAGTACTGTACAAGATTCGAACTAGCATATACTTAATGTCCTTGTGTTTTTTTATGTTATTTATTGTTTTACAGATATAGATCTACTGTGCTTTAATTATATATATTAAGAAAAAAATTGAAAATTTCTTCACAATCTCTTTGTTGATATGAAATAAACATATTTTAACTTCACACGAAGTAGATATATAATGTTTAAATTTTGCACGTTTAACGTGGTCACAATATAAATAAATAGCGTCATTTAAACTGCAAGTATTAAGAAAAGTCCAACTTTACTTGATGCGATATAATATAGTAACACATCTTTCAATAAATAGTTTATTCAGTCTTTTATTTAAATTAGACAAAATATTCGGTGATATTTTTTCATAGATTTCAATAAATGCCTTTGATTCAAAATTTTTTCTTCAGGATGTTTTAGTTTTTTGATGGTTAGACAATACTTTTTGAGCAAACACTTTTAATTGCTATTCTATTATAACCGTTGGTTTTATTTGAATTCCATTTGATTCAAGATTTTTTTGAAAAAGGAATCACTTTTATCACAAGTGTCCCTGATAATGAACACTGTTTTGTTTTATTTAGATATGTGCTTCTTTCGCCTTACCATTGACACTGTATAATGTCTTTTTTTATCGTATATCTGAAAGTCTGTAAAATACATATCAATTAGAATTATTTGCTGAAGGACGCACGTAGCGTATGCTTGTCCAATTGTTATCGCCGTTACATGGACTTATATTAAATACGTTTTTAATTTTGCTTCAGGCCCATCTTTAATCTCTAATTTCATGCAAAAGTGTACAATGATTGTTTTCACAAATTGTTAACATTATCTCTGAGCAATTCATATCATTGTTTGACCTCAAAATATAACAATATCTTCGTTTATGCCATATTTTGTTAAAGATAATTTGATTGAAATAGAGAAAAACGGAATCTTTAAAGAACGCAAAACAAATGTCACAGTTAGATTTGATCGAGCCTTGTCATGCACAAATGTAGTAATTGAAAGGTACCTTTTACGCCTCCACCTAGTATCGGTTTGAGCTGAATTAAAAATATGAACATAAAAATGGTGGAATATTTTAATTGTGAAACATCCACAGCTGTTTTTAAACTTATTCAAATTTGTATTTGTTTCACGTTACCTTTGCCAATATAACTCATTGTAACTTTCTATTTTATTGCTCTATTACGTAAGTCTGTAAAATACTGATCATTTTAAATCATGCCAATGCAATCTGATGTATAATCTCATGTTCCAGAAGCCGACGTTTCCGATATTATCGTTCCAGATATTACAAGAACTACTACACACCGTGGAAGAACCTCCCAGACAATGAGTGCTTTAGACAGAAATGTCAGACGGACAAAGATTGCTGCCGAAGATATTCAAAATGTGACGTGAGCGCCAATATTTGTTACAACTGTTGGTTCGGGCATCCATGTAAGACCTCGCGGGATTGCTGTGAAAGGTACCCGTACTGTAATAAAAGCACATACGGGGGCCGATGCCAGAATTGATTGTTATTCTGAAATACGATTCTATACATTGAAACAAAATTAAATGATTTATTTATGAAAAATGGTGCTTTTACTCTCTACCATTACCGTGTATGATTACATGTCATGTAATTGCAAACATATTAGAAACAATAAATGTTAGTTTTGTTATATTTGAAGTAACCATTAATGAAATTTTCATAAAAAAGCTTCGTTGGATGTTATGCTCATTTCAAAATATAATACTTTGCGGTAAAACTGATCGTGTGCATTAATTGATGAAATAATTTGATCATCATATTGTTTGACTGTTCCAATTCAATCAACCAAAGTGCGCTCTTTGTCAATATATTATACTGTAGCCCGTAGCAACAATTGGAGACTCTTTTATCACGTTAACAGTAGACAAACTTTGCGACATGCAAACTGACTTTTTATACACATAGAAGAAAATAAATATTTAGCAAGCTTGGATTGTGTAATGAAACATTGTTTCGAACTTTCAAAACGGTTCCTTTGTTTTATCTTATACGTTTGTGTAGAGCTTAAAAAACAAAACTTGCAAGTAACTTAAATGGCTCCTGCATTAAAGAAATACCAAGGCAGATGTTATCCTTAGATTGCAACAAGTGATACTCATTTCAAATTCTATAATAGAAATAAGGTCAGTAAAAAGGATACATTCTGTGAATTTAGTTTTTTGATTGATGTACTTACAAATTGCTTCAACGTTAACTGTAAACAACAGTTGTTTTTTTTAGTCTGTATGTTGGGTATGTCAGTGCTTTTCTTTTTCCATAGAAACAAAAAATGTCAAACAATTTCATTGCGGTCGTATGAATAATGCTTTTCAAAATGTCTTATATTAAGACTTTTGACTGTTATAATATTCACGTTTAATGTGTAACTTTCAGTTTCTTAGTGATCGTATGCAATATTTACAATCGAATCAGTGGATAAAAAATACATGACAGGCCTTTATCTTACGGGGCACTTTCCTTTAGTTTGGGGAAACAACATGGACAATTTGCAAAAGGGGGAGATATAAAATGTTAACTGAGTTCTATGGGAAACTGTAAAATTTTAATAGTTTGTCCGTACTGGATGAGACCTATAAACGGTTCATGAATGGTATGAAGACTGTTTAAGATTAAGTAAATGATTATACTACCCAGACATAAGATTCTTATCATCACGGTTGGCTTTATTTTAACAAGTGGTCGTAAATGTTTGATGATGATATTTATAAAAAAAGATTATTAAAGTTTAAATATTTTATATTGCTTCAACGAACAAGTGTGTCCATCTATTGTATTTTTGTCCTTACGTTATTATAACAAAACAGTTCAATAAATACTCAACAAAGGGATTTTGTTTATTTCTATTTATTTCAACGTATTGAAATATCATACTCTTTTCCATATAGAATAAAAACAATTTTTCTCCTAGTATGAAATGACAAGAAACCCATTTTTGTAAACTTAAAAATGTCATCGAGGTGACTATTTAGGCTTTTTAAATTGTATGTCATATTTCTTTAAAATACATAGATCGATTTCTATACAGCAATGCACTATTTTACGACGCCATTTCAGAGATAAATGGTTGCTCAAACTTGTAACTGTAATTATTTATTGAAAAATAGAAAACAATTTTTCTTTTCCACTTTTGCAGCACATTGGTCTATGTCCTTTCATTTCCACGGGAGCTTGTTAAATTCGACACTGTTGGTACTGGCACTTCAATGCCCGAAATATTGTGAGACAGTATTTTTAGTTATCAGTATATCATATTATTATTAATCAATTTATTTGATTGAGTTTTTGAAAAAACTGCAACATTTCACAATACCCTTTCAAAACAAATTTTAAAAGCATTAAACAAAAAACTGTTATGCTTTTGTTTACAATCAGACATATAAAAAACCTAATTAGACTAGTATGGTTTGAGACAGAATATAGCATGGCACTTCTGTTCCAATTACTAAATCTTATGCCCCATGTTTAGGGAAACTATAAATATTTCAATTAAAAACATAACCAGAGATGTGCGAGTATTAACAATTTGTAAACAGTGTAAAACTTGTCAACTGTCTCTATATTTGTCTTCAACAGCTTGAATATGATTCATGTGTCCAAATTTTTTCAACTCATTAACACAAAATGCTCTTGCAAGTATGCACAATTACATGCAATCCCTAATGCAGAATAAGATTGCTTTGCAACACACTCAATATATTATGTCAAAAGCATAGACTAATTTTTGCTAGACCATATAAATCTTGTCCACTCATCACACGTGATAGCGGGCACTATAAACAAAGGGAATCCATGCAATCTAATGACATATGCTGATGATTATTGGTTAAAAAAGGCCATTCCGTAATTAAATATCTTATCTAAAATAACATGCTGATAACAATCTTATAAATAATGAATTTACAGAGAGTATTCCATGAAATCAGTTAATCTCATTTCCATTTATTTATCAAATCTCTTGATTAAACATTGATTCATTGTTAATATTCATCATGCTATAAAAGATTGAAACATAGATTGGTTGTGAATATATTTCCTGATATAAAAGATTGAAACATTGATTTATTGTGAATATATATCCTGATATAAAAGTTTAAACATTGATTCCTTGGATAAAAATAAAATCCATTGACATTGATTTATTGTTAATATATAGCATGGCATTTAAGATTAAACATTGATTTATTGTTATAGTAAATATATCATGATATGAAAACTTGAACATGGATTTATTCTTAGCGGATATCCTGATTTAAAACATTGGAAATGATATCGCTTATGTAGAGAGAGTTATGGCGACATATTCCTTGTACTAAACTTGTTTTTAAATCTAAAACAATGCATCGCATTCGTGGATATGTATTAATTAGCATAAATCGCATTCAGTTACTAGAGAGTCAGAAACATATGTTAAAAATATTATAAAATACAAGCGAATGGCGAATGGACAATTCCATAATAATCTGTTAAGTGATTTGAAATTAAGGACCATACAACTGGTAAATAAACTTAAACGTCATTATTATTTTAACATCTCCATTGCTTGACCATTAACTGAATTCAGTTTTAGAATAATTTAGATTAAATTTGAAACAGCATGATGCTTGAATAAATGTATCAACATTAATTTATCAAGGAAATATACATCCAATTATTCAATATTGCTTATTTCAGATGTTTATTTTTTTCAATATGATTTTGATACGCTTTTGCTCTTTAAGACATTTCTCCTTAAATATCGGAAATCTATGTTTCTTAATTAATTGGAAATGTCAAACAAGTTTTAAAAATGGTTGACTTATGATTTTAGAGCATGTTAAGTGTTCAACTACTTAATAAAGTATGGCTGAATGTGCAATAATATATCGTCAAAGTAGCAAAATGTACACAAACTTCCATACAAAAATACTAATTCACTATAGTTATACCAATAGCCGACAAGGAGCAAAAGAGAATTCATGCACATGTATATGGTAAATTAGTATGCATTTGGAAATTGTAGCAAGATACATAAAGATGATAGCATTTCTTTCTCAGGCAAAATTGGCCTTTAATAAAAGTTCAAATTGCACAAAATAAGTAATATAATATCTATATGAAATAATACGGTATGATGAGTCTATAAAAAATTGTTACAAGTGTGACAAAACAATTCTATCCAATGTCCACTAACAATAGGTTTAAGATAAGAATTTGTTTAAATTCATAAATTGTGTTCAGTTTTTTATTTAGATACGTTAACATTATTTTAGTCATGTACTTTCTACATTTAATCAATGTTTTATTGCTACTATAATAAAATAATATTTATTTTTAAGACCAAATTAATTTGACCAGTAATAAGGAGTGAGCTTTTCAATCATATTTCGCGCATTGCCTTATTTTAAAAGAACAAAAAGGGTCAGTAAGAAGTTCCTACCTTTCGTTAAATAGCTGCAACAAAATTATTAAACCGAACAATTAGTATAATATAATTTTTTCTTACTGAGTTCGCGGTTGAGTAAAGTGCTGATTCTATATACTACGCGTGTACAGCTGTTATGCGTGTGTTTCGTTGTTTAATTTGAATAAACATCATTTAATCTTTTTCATTTTTCCTCTTTTTCTTTCAAATTATTTCACGAAGTTATCATCAGCAGAACTAATATTAAGCTAAATATATTTGGGAATATCCCCCAGCGAAGCAGTCCCTCTCTAACCTTGACCCATTTCGCACTCACCAAACAAAGAATCCAGCCTTATGAACATAATTATGTGAGAAATTAAATATATCACTCACTGACAAATATTATTCATTCAACTATATCAACAAGGGAGCGGTTGCCTAGTGGTTAAGGTGTCTGCCCCTTAAACCAGAGATCATGGGTTGGCGCCCCTACTCGAGTCACTACCATGTTTCTTCATATGACACCAGTACTGGTTGTTTCCACGACACAAAGCAGACTCGAAAGTAATGAATATATGTTGCAAGAACTTGTTTCTCAATCGAGCTTAAATAAATATGTTTAAACCAAATATATCAACACCCTTGTTTAACTTTAAAACTTTTTACTTCATTTGATATTTAATCTCTTTTAACAATGAATTATCTTAAAAATCATCTAATTAAGGTACTGTTTCATAATTTCACCTAATGCTTATGCTTTCATAAATATCAATAATGACGACAGTATCATTCATCATGAGTGTTCCTATGTTAGATGTATGCATTTAATTTTGTAATAAAATCTAGTGCTATGCAATGCAAGCGCATTAAATATCTCGCAACTAATTTTTCTAATAATTTAGATGAGCAACAAAACCATTAACGTGTGACATAAAATTTATATTCGTTTTATTGAAATCTCTGTGGAACGTGCAACGAATATCATTAAGAAAAAAAAGTCTCATCATTGCACATAAAAGCAGTTTGTCAACCGATCTTTTTTGGCCCACCACGGATCATGATCAAAATCAAAATCACAATTAATATAATGGACTTTTTTTGAAGTTTTTATTGTGAACGAAATGTTTAATTTGTGCTCAGCTAGGAGCATAATTGAAGATCCTGTCACCATGAAATTACAAAAATACAGTTTTGTAGAAATATTTTTTTAATTATAATGTTTATAATTGAAGTTATTTTTATATATTTGTGGATATTTTGTTCCAAATAAAAAAGGTTATTTTATGCAAAAAATAGTAATAAAAATGTTTCTGCTTGTTTTGTTCAATAAGTTCAATGTCGGTAAAAAGTCACGCCATGTTTAAAAACAATCGAATCTCATCGGCCTTTTCCGTCGAACGATCGCATCTTCTCGGCCCTTTCCGTCAAACGATCACATCTTCTCGGCCCTTTCAGTAAAACGATCACATCTTCTCGGCCCTTTCCGTCAAACGATCGCATCCTCTCACACTTTCCGTCAAACGATCGCATCTTCTCGGTCCTTTCCGTCAAACGATCGCATCTTCTCGGCTCTTTCCGTCAAACGATCGCAGCTTCTCGGCCTTTGCCGTCAAATTTTGATAAGAACTTCAAACACAATAGTAAGAATACACAGAACGGCAAGAACTTGTTAATACAGATTGAAAAAGTACATTTGTTTACATATTCCTAGATGTCAAAAAATTTCAACAACAAAGTATTTTACACCGATAAGCATAGTAGTTTCTTAATAATTATTATGGTCTAAGTACCAATTAGATCCTTAACATATGACACCTCCCCCGAAAAAAAAGAATAACAAAAAAAAAAAAAAAAAAAAAAAAAAAAAACAACAAGAAAAAAACAGTGCTGAATATGTAATTGTAGCAGACTGTAAACAGAACTGTTTATTTACTTTCATGCAAGATGTTAAATCACTATAACTGTACTGATTGCCAAAAGAAAGCAACAGATGTAAAATATGGTTCAGGTAAATAACAAATTCTACATTATAGAATGATTAATGTAGTTATTAGTGGACTAGCAATGTTATGTATAATCATTTAGCCATAAGTTAAGAGTATTATTTTGAAGAAAAAAGACCATATATTTACATACGAAACCTTAAATTTTTTAGTACCATGCAATAAATTACGATTTATTAAAAGCATGTTATTTATAGAAGACAGGGGATTTGATACGTTTGGATAAGCAAGGAATTATGAAGATATTGCGTTTTGTAGAATATACCTTTAAAATGGAGCTATAAGATAAACTAATTTTGATTAGCCAAAAATCGTTTTCTTAAGTGATACGTTTCACAAACACTGTACGTTATTACAAATTATGTGTATGCACGTATGAGTCCATGGAACCACATTAAGAGTTCTTAATTTTCAAACATTGCGTGTAGTTCCATTGAAT